CTTTTCGCAAACCAAACTCGCTACTTTGAAAGAAAATGGACATTGTTACAGTTTGAATATTTAATAAAAATATTCAAGCTGTAGCATTTTTTTATGCCTTGAAGTGTGTTCATTTTGTGCTGATTCAGAATTAGTCATTAGACACTCAATCTGTGCCTGTTATGCTTATAGCCTTTGAATATAACCATGCGTCGCAAGACGCCTTGCTGTTGTTGTTGTTGACGGCGGTATTTTTATTTGATACTTAATTGATGATTCCAAAATATTAGGCTCTAAGTTGATTAACGTTTCTTTACGGGCCTTCTTATAATAACCAAAATTGACACCTCTCATGTTGTGCTGTTATCTTACCACTGCATATAAAACCTTATTTTACGCCCTTGTCGGCAACGCGTCTACCTATTAAGAAGTATCAGAATTTTGTTGTCTAAAAAAACGCTAAGGAAACAATGGTCAAGTTCAATTCGCTTACAGTAGTAATTGTCATCAGCACATATAACTTCTTTTTGTTCACACGTCAATCTAACACTATATATCTTTGTGGATCAAGTGACAACGTTTATAAGCACAGTTTTGTTCTTACGGCCAGTCTACACGACCGGCTACTGCTGTACATGTAACGTGTACGATTTAGCAATACCAGAAACCCACTCAGATAACTTATTAATGCTAATATTTTTGCAGTAAGAAAAATGAAATTTCATTTTAGTCAGTGTAACACACAGATCCTACTGAGTACAGAGTATTTAGTATACTTAAACCATGTCCTCGGAAACACGCATGCTTACGTGTACGCTAAGCACCCTACCCTCCGTTTACTGTAGTATTCAAATATCAATAACAACATGCATTATGAAAAAGTATTTAATATTTAAACGATGCCGCCTTCGGACTTTGTGCAAATCCCCATATGTAAACTGGGAAACACATGCATTTATTGATGTCAACTACACATTCTAGTTTTAACCAATTGAAGCCACCTTCGCTGCGCTCGGCAGCCAGTAGGAATATTTAAATTATTTTATCCAATGATTTGTCCGGAAAAGCGTGACAGGCACGACAATTTAGTGTGACGGACAGACAGGTTGCTGCAGTAGATGTTTAAGACTAGTCGAGTGCCGCCGCTACGCGGCGGGAAAGAATGAATGTCGTTCCTTGTATTTTGCCTCCGTTCCGCTCGCCACGGGCTCGCTTCACTACTCGCACGGTAGGTTGGTAGATTTGGCTCAGGCGGGCTCAAAGGCCCGCAGGGTTGCAGAAGGTGCCGATTTGGGCCGCCTCGCTGCGCTCGGCAGCTTTTAGGCCAATCGGGGCCACCTTCGCTGCGCTCGGCAGCCAGTAGGAATATTTAAATTATTTTATCCAATGATTTGTCCGGAAAAGCGTGACAGGCACGACAATTTAGTGTGACGGACAGACAGGTTGCTGCAGTAGATGTTTAAGATGTGATATATTAAAATATTTTTTCGAGCACTGGTTCAAATTGGTTGCTTGTTGTTGAAGACGGTTTGGAACGCGCTGGAGAGCTGTTGTTTGCCGCTTCCATGACGCAGTGCTTCTGATGTAGCATACTCTCGAGCTTGCGCGCCCCGTTTAAAAAGTAGCGCGATTGCATGTGCTGCTTGGCAACCAGCAATCGCTCCTGCTGAAGCTCATGCGCGGCAGTCTCCAACTTCTCACGATCCTGCTCCAGCATCATTGCACGCTGCTCACTTCGCTCTGAACGTTCCGTCAGAACCTTCACGAGAGAGCGCAACTTATCGCGCTCTTCGGTGACGTCGGCAAACTCCTGCACACGTCGGGCGAGAGCGTGCGACTCCACCAACGTTTTTCGCCCGACAGCGGCTAGCTCTGTGCGGCGCCTCTCGACGAGCGCCTCATCTTCTTCCAGACGTCGTATGCGTTGCTCAATGTATCCGATACGAGCCTCGAGCTCAGCGCGCTCGCCTGCGAGCTCACGCCGCCGCGCGTCCAGCTCGCAACTCCGTGCCTCCATTTTGCCTCGTTCCTCGTCGAAGCGAGCATTTGTGCGAGCCATTGATACCAACAGCTCGCGTCGTTGCTCATCTACAGCTTCGCGCTCGCGTGCAATCTTTAAGTACATTGGTTACCAATCAACGAGTTAGAGAAAGCTGGTTGACTATTGCAAATTACCATGACATACTCGTACCCGGTCTACCTCATCTTGTATCCGTCTGTCTGCCCGCTGTTCAGCCCGGTGCTTAGCTTCAATAGCCCGTGCAAGTTCCGCAGCGTGTGCCAAAGTATCCTGGGCTGTACGAGACTCCAGCTCATGAATCTGATTGTTCAAGGCAGTCTCCAGCATCTCATAGCGCTCTTTCTCCGCCTCCACGACACGTTTGTGAGCTTCTGGTAGCGTTTGTCGTTCAGTTACGCGCGCTGCAACCTCATCGGCATGTGCTCGACGAGCAGCGTCCACATCGACTTGACATTTATGCTCTATCACTTCAAGTTGTACTCGATGCATCCCTTTCAGTTCTTCGATACGCTGCTCGCAGGCCAGTTTGGCGTTGACTGCGTGTTCGAAGCTGCATGTGAGCTGATGAAAGTCTCCAAGTGCTGCTTGAAGCTTTTCAGCAAGTGAAATGTTGCGCTCCCCCGCCTCATGCTTCTCTCGCTCCACGTTCTGAAGTACTCCTCGCAATTCGACAAGGTCGAGTTGCAGTTTCTCGATTCGACGATCTCGCTCCACGATGAAAGACTGAGCAGCCACGAGCTCCTGCTGCACACGTTCTGCTGCTCGCTCGTGTTCCCGCCGCCTGTCAGCTGCACGCCGACGCTTTTTCTCGATGCGTGCCTTGCGCATCGTGAGCTCCTCCTTCGCTCGCCGCAGTGACGCCTTCAGCTCGCGCTCCTTCCATGTGAGCAAAGCATTCTTCTCGCGTAGATTATCGATCTCGTCCTCGAACTTACTCTCCATTTTACGTAAAAGCAACGAAAATTGCTTGCTCTGCATGGCAGCAATAGCCTCAGCTTCTTCTACCGCAACCGATGCGAGCACTTGCGAAGTGGGTCTTGTAAAAACCTTGGCACTTGCCACAGGTGAATGAACGTCCGGAGCGAGCACATCATTGATTTGTGTGAGGTCTTTGTTGCTTTCTGATGTTGGTTGTGCTGGGTTTAATGAGAATGATGCCGCGCGAACTGAGAGATCCACGACGCGATTACTTTGCCTCAAGCTGCGCTGACTCTGCGAGCGACGACTTTCTTCTTCGAAAGAGGTTTCACCATACTCGTAGTCGTATCCCGACACGCCATCAGAAACTACTACCGAGCGGCGAGTGTTGCTTGTGACTGAGCGAGTGGGCGACGATGCCTGGACGGGATGGATGGCAGAAATTTCGACTTCGTCCTCTTCAAAATCGTCTTCGAAGTCTTCGGCACTGTAGTCATCATCGTTTGCCTCGTACGCGTCATAGATTGCAGGTTTGCTACGCTTGGGCTGCTGCTTCAACACCGGTGATGGCTTGAGGACATCACCACTCTCGGCAATTTTGCTAGCAACTACACTGCCGCCATCGCCGTAGACATTCTCAACCTCAGACTCCACCTCGGATGCAACTGAGTCATCGCTGTACATGACCTAAACTTGTACTCCGGAAAGAGGGCACTCACCAAAGCACTCCATTCAGACATCGTCGCATGGCAGGTTGGAAGTAACAACAGCAGCATGTCGAAAAGTAACTTTAGGAACAAAGAATGTGACGATTGCAAATCAGTTCACACAAGGCTACACTACTACACCAGGGTCAACGACGGATTGCACGAGACCAAAAAAGCGACACCTGAGCGTTAAATTTAGCATTCGGTTGATTTTGGAATATGCGAAAGCACCGGAGCCGTAAAGCTCCCGAGGAATCTACGCCAACGACCGCCACCAAGACAGCTGGATCGCAAGGCGCCACAGAAGAGAAGCTGACACCACCACTGCCTGAAGGGGATGGTGCCCACAGTCGAGAGAGACGGGAAGCCTGCCAAACCTGCATCGATGCCACACACTCGGCTCATCACGTCGCCGATCTCCACTGACTGTGTCCAGCCTACTGGCTGCCTGTTTACTGCTTGGCAGCGTTCGAGTTTGGGCCAAGTTTCTTGCCGCCCATACCCGCCACGACGTTGACGAAGCGACGGTTGTACTGCCAGCGCTTCTTGGCACGGCCCGTAAGCGCCTTCTTCGAGTCCTCCTGCTTGGGGACCTTGGGGGTCTGGCCCTTCACCTTACCGGCACGTGCCAGCGAGCCGTGGACCTTACCACCACCACGTAGGCGGAGGGACAGGTTCAGCGTGGTCGCGTTTTCAATGCTGGTGTTGCTGAGACAAGGTAACGATGCAGTAGAAAGAGGTTAGTACGCTGTGCTGCATCTGTATGGCCGGCATGAGCTGCATCTCAGCATGCTGTACGCGGCCACGAGCGCTATCAAGACTCACCTCATGCTTCTTCCTTTCGTTTCTCGCGGAGAATTCCAATGATAGTAGCTTCCAAGAGGTGGGTGGAAAATAAGGCGGCGATTGGTGGTGGTGATGCAGCCACCACCCAAGCTAAACGGTGTGGCACACAGAAAAACATGTTTCGCACGTTTTTTTAAAGGTGGCTCACATGGTTTTAACCGGTCCTTCGAGTGAATTCTGTAGAAAAAACAGTAAAATAAGTACCGGTAGCCAAGATTCACTTAGAGTAACCAATTGTTGGCATCTGACATGATGCTGTCGTCTCGGGCTCTGGCGGCGCACGGCCACCGAAGAGTGGCACTGACTGTGAGACGCACGCTAGCGAATGTACTGCATTCAACCGCTCTCTTCTCCATGGATAGCGGAGTTCCGCCGAGCGAGGAGAAGCACAAGGAAGTGGACTTACCCAGTCACATCAAGTTTCGAATGCCGGATCTGGACTTCAAGGTGCATGGCGTTTACTGTGTAGCAAGGGACGAGGTTTTATGCGAAGTTCTCACGGATAATATTTGATTGACGCAGGAAGTGGGTAGTGGTGCCGGGGACACGACGCTGACGAAGTGGTACGTGCAGGAGGGGGCGGCTGTGACGGATGGCACGCACATGTGCGAGGTACGACAATCCAGAAAGCTGCCAGAGCTAAGAACTTACGGGGCTCTGCTACTGCTACTGCTGTTGGATTGGTAGATTGACACGCCGGACCTGTGCTTCCAGCTCGAGTCTGGTGACGATGGATTCGTCGCACGCTTATGTGAGTGGAATAAACTCCAGCTTCGGTAAGTTCCGACCGTGACTGATGCGTGTGTGTGTTCGTCTTTCTCTTCGTTGCTGTTTCGTGATATCAGTGGTGAATGAGGGCTCCAGCAACGTTGCTCCAGGCCAGCCGCTGGCCATTATTGTGCCCACAGCGGGGGACATTGAGCCGTTCGTGAGGATATTGACGAAAAATCCGCGTTGCATCGAAGGTACCTACCTAGGCACTAAGCGTGCGTATGTAGATCGGGTTAGTGGCTCCGAACTTAGCGTGCTGGTTTCTTTATGTATGATGTCTTCGCTGAACTGACAGGTGCAACTCAAGCGACCGAACCTGAAGTTGCAACAACGCCTTCTGCTGTTCCTCCCACTGAAAGTGCCGTGTCCAGTGACGTCTTGCGCATGCTGAACAAGCTTCACAAGGAGGGACGTTTTGAAAACGAGAAGGCTCTTAAAATGCTCAAGTCACTAGCCCGCAAGAATGATGAGCAGCTGCTCACGACGTACAAGGCCAGCTACGAGGATGGCGTGCTGGAGGAAGTGGCATTTGACAAAGCTTTTTTTGTGGAAAATGCACTGGAACTCGCTGAGGAAGCCGCAACCCACATTGACCCCAACGCAAAGTAGAGTGACGAATAAGCTACACTGCGCGCCAGGTTATTATGACCACTAACTTTTTGGGGCATAGCTCGGTCACTTCTTGAGTTAAGGAACGCTATCTAGATATGCTCGAAGTTCATGAATTCGCAGTTCGTAAGAACTGTGTTTTGAGGATGCAGGAGCGTTTGAGATCCTGCAACATTAGTCGATATGTTGGTCATGAAAGCTAACCTTAGTAGGACACAACTGAAAGCGGGCTGGTGTCGTTCAGCAATTTACAAATAACACTGCGAGGAAAGCTCCGGATAACGTAGCAACAGGGCCTCCGAATGTACATTGACCATAGCAATACTACTAGTACTTACTTTTAGTAGTAAACTAGCCGAGCCCGCCGCTACGCGGCGGTAGTTTAGGTTTAGTTCTATTATTACATGTAGTACTTCTCTGTCCCACCAATTTTTAGAGATTTTGGGTTTTTGAGCCAATGTGAGGTTTAAGTACCCTTTTTCGAAAGCTTGAGTCAGCGTGTTATTGGCTTTATTTTTTGTAGCTTCTTAAAGGTACCGGAAACGTCGTGAATGTGGGCTCATATAAAAAGGCCCTCTGTTATTTTTCGGAACTCGTGGGTTAAATAGCGAAATTTTCCAAAACTTGCAGTGAATGCTCATTCCGATATGGCGATCCTATACATGTACACATCAGCGTAATCACGATCGATGTGTGTAACACTCGCCACTAGGCGCTCAATTACATGAGGTTTTACTGGTTGTTAAGTCGATATGTATCAAATCAGAGGAAAATGTCATCAAACAATTGAAAGAAGCATGGTATCAGCCAATGGGATCATTGTAGCATATTTCGTGTATGACACACAAAACGAAATCCTTATGGGACAGAGAAGTACTTGTTTTGTGTCCCGTATCCGGGAACGAGGGGGGCATTCCAGGAGTAGGGCGTCCTGAAGGGATGACTCGAGGTCCTGTGGCTACTCCTCGCCCCGCCGTCCCGTCAGGATGGTACCCGTTGAACTCGGCGGCTCGCTGCCCCAGGCCGAGCCCGTTAGAGTGACCCTATAGAGTGGTCCGGAAACATTGAGACTCGTTCGACGTGCGACTAAGGCGCCTAGCGCAATCGGGTCCCTTCCCAGAGCTCCCTGTTGTCCCACGAGGGCGGATGGCAGGTGAGGCGAACTCTTAGTTCAAGTGTAAGAGAAGTGGTGTAGTGTATGTGAGGAAGGGGAGGTGTTAGACCTCTCTTCCAGTTAGCTCTCAGTCTTATATTTCCCACCTTCTACTCAAGTGGAAGCCAAGTTAATAAAGAAATTGTTATTCACTTTAAGTGTTCTTATCTACCGTTCCGGCCACTGAGCGAAACCGCACTCCCTAAGCAGCCGCGGATTACCCGACCCTTGTTGGTGGAGGTATACGACATTTGGTGGAGAAGTAGGGTAGTCTGTTCGCTGGAGAATTTCTCGATTCAAGTAAAGACTCGCTGAGGACGCAAGAAGGAAGCTACTACACGAACGAGATGGCATCTACGAACACCGGAGAAAACGCGGGCAACACCTCCAGAGATGGAGAAGGTCAGACTGGGAGTCTACCTTCAAGGACGCGACCCAGTCTGTCAACTACGCAACGCCTCCAAAACCTACAAAACATCCTACACCAAGCCGTCAACCGGCTTGGAGGGAACAGCTCGGGCACTGGGATTGAGCCACCCGCGGACGTTTCGGGCTCCGGGGTCCCTTCGATCTTAACTACGGAAGCGTTGGGCCCAATATTAACCCTAGACGGCGGAGGCGGTCGAGGTACGGTGCAAGGCTGGCTTTAACTCCCTCAACTGGTTGGGATCTGTGCCCCCCCCCCGGCGATAGCGGCGGCTATGGAGAGAACCGATGGGAACGGTCACTTAGGGACTCCCCCGCTAACGACTCGGGTGAAGACTGCGATCCCGTCGTACCAAGGTTTCCCTATCCGGACCCCGACTACGGCTTATGGGCAAGACTTCAACCCGTTCTTCTCTCTACCGAATGTCCCTGAGAACAGTGGAAGTGCTTCTCCTGCGAGTGTTCCTCCGGGAACCACTAACGCACCTCCTTGGGGTCTTCAGCCTACTGGTGACCTACAAGGTGGAGTAGGGAACGCTCAAGCCGCGATGGCTCAAGCACCACTGAGTACTCCTATCCAGGCATCAGCTCCTACAGCACGAGCCCCTACGTAGGCTCCCGGGTCTAGAGCTTCGACTACAAGTGGGATCGCGTACGGAACCGGCCCTACTCGGGCTACCGGAGCTCCCCGCGGAAACGGAGGAGCTACGGCCTCTGTCGGAACGCAGCAGGGTCTTGCGTATGGTGGCTATGGAAGTAACTCCTACTACGCCTCCCCGACGTATGGTAAAACCCTTCGACGACTGTTGGCCAGTACGGTATGCCTACTAACATCCGTAACGCTATTCGTATGATTCAACCGTTCTACTCGGAAGAAGCGTCAGTGGAAAAGGCTCGATCATTCTGGGAAGCCTTTGAACGTGCTACTATAGGACTGGATGACCCCCTCCGACTTAGTGCTTTCCGTGAGTGCTTGAAGGGCAAGGCCGGTGAGGACAGGTGGGTGTACTCGCGCATCGACAGCTTTGAAACCCTGAGGACTCGGTTTCACAGCCAGTTCATCAGTCAACCCCCGTTGCAACTGGTCGAGTACTAAGCGACCCCGGGGAATGTCCGCCGACAAGTGTGGGGTGACGTGATTTCGAGCCTCTGCGATGATGCCCAGTGCTACGATCCTCAAATGCGTTACCAGTACTTCTTGTCGGGACTTCGGAACAGGGATTGGATAAACGCTCTCACCACGACCGTGATTGACTCCATCCCTGCGGCTGTGGCCATCTTGCTCCCCAAGAATATGCATCGCCCAGTCGAAGATGACTCCGAGTTCGATAATGTTCCGTCCCCTAGAGCTTCCCAGGAGAACGCTGTCCTCGAACGCATGATGAACATGATGCCGCAGACGTAGGATCGGCTCGCTCAACAACAACAGCAGTTGATGGAGCGTCCTATGGCTGCTGTCTCTGCTACTCCTGCTATGAATGTGACTGCAGCTTGCACTCCTCCTGAGCAGAGTGCTTTCCAGCAGTATCAACCTAATGGAACGCTTCCTATTACGGCTATAAGAGGTGTTCGTCTAGGACCGGACTTGCACACTCAAGATGGTCTTCTCGTCTGTGGCCGTTGTCACACTCTGGGGTGTAGTCGGATTCACTGTCGGCGCAGCAAAGCCACGTGTGTCCTCACTGCAAGGAAGTGGGTCACATCTGCGCTGAGTGTGAGCGTGATCCTCCTAGCGTGCTCCGAAACAACCCGCCGAGGAACGGTCGCAAGTGCTTCTTGTGTGATGAACCGGGTCACATGCTCGCTGAGTGTCCTCTGAAGACGTCGCTGAAGAGATTCGGTGCTCGTGCCGCGACGGCGACGGTACCCGTCCAGGGACAAGCGCCCAACCAGCAGTGATGGGGGCGAGAGGGAGGGGAAGGGAGTGTCGCTTCTTCCTCTTGTCTATGGATCGACACAAATGGGAACACTATGACCTGCGCGGAGGAGTCGACCGAGAGGTATGAATTGTGTCCTGTTGTGGGTAAAACGAGTGTCGCCTTGCTGGAAGAAAATGAAACGACTGTGATTGACGAGTATATGACGAGAACTGAGGATCAACTACCGCTTGTGAATGGGGGTACTGAGCCCCTGGGGAACGGTCTGTCGTTGGTCCCAAATGCGGTCGGCAGTTGGAGAATGGAACAAGAAGCGTTTGTGACGGAGGAAGGTTCAGGACCCGTATGGGACGGTCTCTCGATAGCCGCGAACATTGACGAGCGTTGGAGTGCAAACCAAGGAGTGCTTACGAGAGAAGACCAAGAGAGTGAAAGCGAAGCAGTGAGAGGAGAACTAACCAAGGAAGGGGAAGCAGAGGGGCCGCGACCCTGGGCGTCCTCGACGGAATGTGATTGCCCGACGACGCCAACCAACCACGAGAGTGTGGGTTCGAGTGTACTAGAGCTTGATGAGGAGAATGGTGAGTCCGAAGACCACCTGCTACAATATAATTTACCCCTAGACGTGACAGAGGTACTCGAAAGCCCGCCCCGAGAAGAGTGTGGAACTACGGAAGCAAGTGTCCCAGTCTCGAGGATGCAGCCAAGAGGGAGGGAGAAAGACGTGACCCCTCCCGAAAGAAACGACTCCTCCGCAGAGGACTCTGAGGACGTCGCCCTTCCTAGTCCTATAAAGGATAAACCCGGGAAGGGGCCTGCATTCGCGAGGGTGTTCTCCGAGGAAGAACTGGACGCTTTGGAGTACGGAGGACCATCTGAGCTGGCCGAAGAGAAGGAAGAATATGACAGAGAACTCGAAGACCGACTGTTCCCTCTTGATAAGGTAGACTAAAGCGCAGGTTGATCGAAAACGCGGAGCAGTCGAATGAGTTACCTATTGCCGAATTGAGTGTCCTACTCGACATCCCAGAAGAGAACCACAGCGAGGACTCGAAATTCTTCCCTGGTCGACTGTCTACTCCAAAGTACTCTGGAGTGGTTCCAAAAGACACTGGCCTCGTCCGATGAAGCGAAGCGCGCCAACTTACTTACGAACCATAATTTCAAAGAGGAATCGCCGGTCCTGATCAACTCAGTGACATCGGGCGACTCGGATTACCGAGACGAAGGAGGCAGGACTTCGACGAAGAGATTCTCGTGGCAGGATGTGCCTAAGAAGATAGGACACTTCCCGGGGTTGAAGATACCTCTTCAGCGGGGAGAAGTGTGTCCCATGGACCCCTCCGTAGTGGAAGATAATATCGCACTGGCCCTGGAAGATTCTCCAGAGAGGCCCTCTGACCTCAGCCGAGCCGAGTACGATTTGATGGTCTCTCGAGGAACCGTACCAAACCCTTGGCGTGCCGTGGTTAGGCGAGCAGTATATTTCCTCGTAAAGATTGAAGCTTCAGGCAAAGGCGGTTGGTGTGAAGGATGTATTGGCGAAGGATATGCGTCCAGTCGGTCGCAGTAGTACGCATCAGCAGCAGCTGTTCAGGACGGTGTTAGCGAGTCAAAG